TTTCAAAAGAAGTGAGATATATAGGCTCAAATGGACGATCCGGGTGTCGTTCTATTAGAGGTTTTACGGTACTTAATTAATTATTATTTAAAGTTGTCCTATTACTGACTCAACGCCTTTTTTCTGTAGGATGGGAAGAGGAATCCTAGAAGAGTGTCGACTTTTTCTGGAAGATCGTCTTCTTGCTCGGCGGTTTCTGGGAGTGGCGTTTGGTTAGTTTCAGAATGTGTCGTGGTCGATTCTTGAGTCTTCTCAGTTCCAGAAGTGATGTCTTCGATGGAGGAAGTCATTCTGAAATTTTGAAAAATTCAAACATTCAAAAACTGAAACTCCTTACCTATCCATATCTTCCGAAATTCCATTATCTGTTTCCATTCTCATAACTGGCACTTCTTCGACAATTGGTTGAATTTCCTCGTTCACTTCGACGAGTTGTTCCTCTTCTTTCATTCTGAAATTTTTCAAACTCTAGTGCAACAAGACTTCAAATTTGACTATTGTAACGTTGAGTATATTTGTCTAGGTTTCTGTGAAAGATATCAAAAAGCGGCCAACCAATAAAATGTTACTGATATTACATTTCGTCAGTTGACCACTTTTTCATATCTTTTACAGGAAATGAGATAGATGGGCTCAAAGTTAGCTCAATGAATTTTTAGAGTGACATGTGCAAATCTCATTGCCCCGGTTCAGGATCCCCAAATGATCGTTTTTAATTTCACAATCACCGGAAACTTCTGAAGGTTACAATGACGAAATTCCAAAGCCTCAAAAAGAGAACTCACTGGCTCGTGGAGCATTCAATTTGGAAGATGACGTCACTGGATTTACATGCTCCACTTCTCCACATAAACCAATCACTCTGACGGCGTTCCACTCCAACGGCCACTCCTGGCGAGCAGATTAGGGAGTCAGAAGACTGCAAAAACGAATTTTTGGATTACCATAGTTTTTGAAAATCGAAAAAAAAACTTACTTTCAGAATAGTTGCCTCGTTAAATCTCTGACATTGAAGCGGGCACAGTTCGATGGATTCTTGTTTTTCTGAGTCAAAGTGCTGAAAATTTCAATATTCTCGGGTTACTGTAGATTACTGTATCTCACCATGAAACATCCATTATCATTGATTGCTGATAATTCTCCAAATCTCAGCATGCACTCCGATTTGGAAGCTCTGGATGATTGTCTGGTACAAGCATATTCTCGGGTCTCAGCTGGAATGTTTTCATTTTAATTTTAATAGTTTGCCAGGTTACTGTAGGATTACTGTAGGTAAGAGAAACATATGTGGTGAGTTACTGTAAGTAAAACTAAAATCACACACTGGAGGTACCTAGAACACCAAATCTATGCCAGACGTCTCTAGCTGATTTCTAATTATCTGAAATTGGGGCCACGAGGAGGAGCCTAAAATTCATTTTCTCAGAATATCAGGACCCATAAATTTCAGAACCCAAACATTCAAAAATTCGATAAATTTTAAAATTTAAAACTTCAGAATTTTTGAATTTCAGAAATTCCAAATTTGCGAATCTCAGAATCTCGAGATCTCGGAATATCAGAATCGCTAAGAGCTCAAAATCTCATAATCTCGGAATTTTCGAATTTCGGAATCACGTAATCTCAGAATTTCAGTATTTCAGAATTTCAAAATCTCGGAAACTCGGAATCTCAGAATCTTAGAATTTTGTAATATTAGAATCTCAAAATCTCAGAATCTCAGAATCTTAGAATCTCAGAATCTCAGAATCTCAGAATCTCAGAATCCCAGAATCTCAGAATCTCAGAATATCAGAATCTCAGAATCTTAGAATCTCAGAATCTCAGAATCTCAGAATCTCAGAATCCCAGAATCTCAGAATCTCAGAATATCAGAATCTCAGAATCTTAGAATCTCAGAATATCAGAATCTCAGAATCTTAGAATCTCAGAATCTCAGAATCTCAGAATCTCAGAATCTCAGAATCCCAGAATCTCAGAATCTCAGAATCTCAGAATCTTAGAATCTCAGAATCTCAGAATCTCAGAATCTCAGAATCTCAGAATCTCAGAATCTCAGAATCTCAGAATCTCGGAATCCCAGAATCTCAGAATATCAGAATATCAGAATCTCAGAATCTTAGAATCTCAGAATCTCAGAATCTCAGAATTTCAGTATCTCAGTATCTCAAAATCTCATAATCTCGGAATTTTCGAATTTCGGAATCACGTAATCTCAGAATTTCAGTATTTCAGAATTTCAAAATCTCGGAATCTCAGAATCTCAGAATCTCAGAATCTTAGAATCTCAGAATCTCAGAATCTCAGAATCTCAGAATCTCAGAATCTCAGAATCTCAGAATCTCAGAATATCAGAATCTCAGAATCTCAGTATCTCAGAATCTCAGAATCCCAGAATCTCAGAATCTCAGTATCTCAGAATCCCAGAATCTTAGAACTTCAGTACTTGAAAAATCTTAGAATTCCAGAATCCAGACGTTTTGGGATTCTAGAATTTTCAAAACTAAGAATTTTGAAAAAATCTGAAATTTCAGAAAACACACTCACTCGATTGCTGTGCTTCTAATCCAACAACCAACACAAGGATTACTGTAGCTAGTCGAGAAATCATGGCAATTAGAAACTAATTAGAATTTCTCGGTTTTTCAAAATGGAAATCCGAAAGGACACTTATCCAGTCCCAAAAAAGATGGGCGGTCCATATATTGATGTCGACCGGTATCTCTTTTGTCATCTGACCTCATTCTTCTCTCGAATAGCCATGACTTCTTCCCGGCTTTTCCTTATCTTTTCATTGCGTTTTCATCCTGCTTTTTTGCCAAAAAAGGAGGGAAAAGACCGGTTTTTGAAGGGAGGTTTAGGAAGTTTTTCTTGAGAGATAGACAAAGAGAACTTGTTTTTTTGGAGGATAAGAAGAAGGGACGTTCCGAAAAGTTGCGAACTGTTTTGAAAGATATTACTAGACAATGCAGACAGTTTGGAGACAAATGAGTCATTCAAAGTTGCTAACTAGGAGAATGTGAAAAATAAAATCTTATTTAATGCTTTATTCAACAAAAATTAAACAAAAAATAGAACAAAACAGTTCGAAACCAATCCAAAATCTCTTCTGACCCCCTCCATTTTCCATACTTTGATCCAAAAAATCCTCGTATTCCAATTCTTGGGTCATTGGAGATTCCTGATCCTCCTCATACTCTTCATAGTCGTACTCTGGTTCTTCTCGTTTTGTTGACGTCGTGGGCTTCTGAATCAGTTTTGGAGATGGAAGGGTTGATGTTGTTTTGGGACCTAGAAATATCGAATTTTCAGACAATTTTGATATTGGATTATGAAACCTTCAGTTGTTGTTTCCTTTGATGAAATTGGAAAATCAGAAGAGGAAGAAGACGTTGGATTAGAGATTCCAGTCAAACCATCAGAACGTGTGAACGGGACCAAAGAAGAGGATGCTTCAGAAGTTGTCTTGGATGCTTCAATAGACTTAGAAGACGCTTCTGAAGACGTGACCCGTGACGTCATAACCTTTGTTGTCATAGCTTCAGTAGACGTCTTCAAATTATCAGTAGAATGCAAAGATATTCTTGTCGTCCTGGCTTCAAAAGTAGTTTTTGAAGTTGTAGTTCTAGAAGACGTAGTAAATGCTCTACGAAACTTAGAAGTTGTTTTTGACGCTTTTGAAGACGTGATACGTGACGTTATAAATTCTGATAAAGATATTCTGGTTGTCCTGGTTTCAGGAGTCGTTATTAAAGTCGTGCTTTTAGATTTAGTCGGAAGGGTTACTGTAGATCTTTTCGTTGGTTTTGGAGTTGTTGTTTTAGTCCACGAAGATACCGTAGCCGTCCTAGCTTCAGAAGTTGTTTTTAAAGTCGTAGTTTTAGAAGTAGTCGGAAGGGTTACTGTAGATGTTGTTGTCGTTATTTTTGGAGTTGTAGTTTTAGTCCGTCCACAAATTCCACTCTATTCACAGATATCGGGTGCTAGCCATTGAGTATTCACGAACATATACCCCCATTTCGTTTTGTTGAAAATAACACCTAAAACGATAAATTCAAAATAGATAAGAGTTCCTCAAAAAACTGACTCCAATGAACCCGACAACTATAGGCAAAACATTTTTGGTTCCAATCATTCGTGTTCCTACGAATTTCGCCTGAATAAATTATTTTTCAGTAAATTTAAATTATATATTGTCGGATTAAAAAAAGTGAAACCTGAAAATCTCGGAGACGGCGCTCTTGTCGATTTACGAGGAGGCGGAGCGAAAACGGATACTGTAGATAACAAATTTATTTATGTGAATTTAGTGGGATTTTCTGAACAAAATTTTGATTTCTTGGTATAAAAATGATCGTTAGCATGTCTAGAATAGATTTTTCAGCAAAAAACTAAACCTAAACGCGAAAGTAGCTCGAACAAGCCGAAATTCTGAAATATTACGTTTTTCCTGCGCTTTTTCGTAGATCAAAAAAAGCAAAAGTATTCAAATTCTCAGGTGTCACTTTTTTTTAATTCGACAATACTTTTAACTTACGATACTTGAACTTTGCTTGAAACCGATTCCCGGAGAAAATCGATAGGAATGCACCTGATCGCCTATTTTCACCATTTCCAGAAAGACATAACGGCGTATCTTAGGATTCGTCTTTTACCTCCACGATCATTGGAGAAAATAAGTGATGGAAATTGTCCCTAATATACTTATGACAAATGAAAGGGAGGAATGCTCTGACAGCAGTTGTTGTCAGATTCTTGCACTTTGAATCCTTGGAATTATAGCAGCTCAGAGGAGTGAACTTCAATGATCTCACTACCTCTTCTGGAACTTCCGCGTTCCTGAATTTCTTAATTTTTTCAGAAAATTAAAAATTTTAAAGCCCAATCTATTTTTTCCCGTGCAATAATCTGTCTAGATTGATCCATTATGCATCCAACGTCTTTTAGAATCCAGAATTGTGTTTGAGAATGTCAGAAAATGTCTAGAAGAAATTGGACTGGCTGCAGAGAACAACATGGGAATATTGGGAAACTTGGAATGAGCAATCTAATGAAAATCTGATGTCGAGTTTATAGCAATTTCAGTCTCGTTTTGGGAGGGGGTTGCTGGAAATAGGAAGATATACCATCAACTTTGAACTCATATATCTTGTTTTCTGTAAAAAGGGTATCAAAAAGTGATCAACAGACAAAATGTTTATAATAATATCAGTAACATTTTATCAGTTGATACATTTTTGATACCTTTCACCAAAACCGAGATAACTTGGGTCAAAGTTAAAAGCCAGTGAGGAGAAACTCACGAATCGCTTCGGTGTCACAAGTATTCAACCGATTCTCATTCTCCTCCTTGGATAGTCTTCCAGATGATGCTCCAAATATCAAATCAATATGGATTAGTATTATGAATATCGATTGAAATGTCATAATTGAATAAACACGTATGATAGGAATGATGAGATAGAAAAGAAAGGGACTGATTTGGGGAGTGGTGAGAGTGGAAGAAAAAAAAAGTGTGTTAGAAAAAGGAAAGTGGAACACATGGATAGGATGATATTTTTTAAAAAGTCAATTTAACAATTCGCACGTAACACAAGGAGTATGAAAAAAGACACTAGGAAATCAAGCCAAAAATTGGCGATCCCGACAACAACTGATCCTCGTTCCTCAGGGATCCCTGAATTCTAGATCCTATAAATCCCACATTCTACAAATCCGATATCTTATATGAATTGATTCCTCGTGGATCTAGGTTCGAACCTTGATGATCCAGTATCTGTGAATTCAGGGAATTTCGCAAATCTGGGATCCATAGGAATCTAGCATCTAGAATCCATAAAAAAAGCATCAAGAAATTGATTTTTAAATAGATTTCTTGTCAATTAACCAAATACTTCATTGAAACAAAAGGATAACAGAAATCAAAGACAAAATCGATAGTTCCACTTTTCCTTCTTTTCCTCGATCAGTGAAGAAGTCCCTACTAACTACTATATCATCATCCACATCCACATAATCCGCTTCAGATGCCTTTTTCTGTGCCAAATACTCCTCATACTCCTCATCAACATCAATTTCTGGTCTGCGGTTTGGAATTTCCACTAGGTCAGAATATTCTGGAGCCGTGGTCGGGGCGCTGGTTGGAAATGTGATGGGTTGAGGAGTATCAGATATTGTCGTTGCATTGGCTTTCGGATTTTGAAATGTCGCAGATGGTTTGAGTGATGGTGTGGTCGTTGTTGTAGTCGTCGTAGTCGTCTTCGGAACAATCACAGTAGTCAACTTCTTGCAGATCCCGACCATCGGACACAAGGCATCATGTAACAGGACCATGCTATAGAAACATATTGTTTGAGGTGATTTTCTTTCGTCTAAAAATATACAAAACTCTAAGGCTAGATTCTTATTTGTTAAGCTCACTGGATCCTCCGATTCCTAACAATATTTTTCGTCCATCCGTGAACTGAACCAGTGCACCTCCACTTCCACTGCGATTGGTATTTACGTCAATATAATGAGTGTACTTCTGAAAGTTATAAAGACAATGATAAAACTGAAACAACGAAAATTTAAACCTCTGGATTCGGAAGCAATATGTCATCGTAAAAGAACTTCATATTCGCTGTATCATAGTTAACCAGAGAAGGTTCCAGTTGGATCGCAGGATCTGAACTTGTTAAATATTCATAGAATCGACTAACTAAAAGTTACCATTCCACAAACACGGAGGACTGCCCTGATATTTTTGATTTACTTCCAAAATCATTGGGTAGCTCATATGACCCTTCTGATCAACTGATGTGGCACCACAATACCTTAAAACGTAAGCTCGGAGAATGAAGGTTGCAGGCGTTTTGAATTGTGCAATTGTCATTTCCAGACGGCTCAATAATTGATTTGAAACTACATTGTAACTGAAATAGTTTTAAGATAAAGTGATTGACTTGAAAAAGAAGTTTGGTCCCCCATGAATTCTCTACCAAAAAATCTCACTATGTTCCTCCCGAACACTGCATATCAATCCATTTTTGATAGAACTGCTCGTAGTCTTTGAATACTTCTGTGGAGGCCAATAAATGTCGAGAAGATATCATAATAGCAGGGAACACATTATTGGAACCTTTGTATTTTAATGAGCCATACCACTGTTGAGACAATACGGAACTAGCCACTCTCGGATCTAGAAAAATTACTTTTTTCATTTTTCAAACATACACACCTCACCTAGATGATCTTTTCCACAATTTTCAGCTCGTGTAGAATCCTCTGCAGGTGTCAATTTACCAGTTCCCTTTGGACATATTCCAACGAGAGCACAAATTCGATATTGGTAGTGCACAATATTGAAAAAACTGGATGTATTTTGATATTTCCCTCTTGGGATTCCCTGGGTTCCAATCCCAATGATTGTGGACCTTTTGTTGTTGTCGATTTTGGTGAGAGCTGCTGCAAAAGTCGTGTTATCATGGTAGGCCTCAGTGAGCATCAAATGGGGTTTGTCGGACTTTTGGACTAGCTATTAGGTTGGCGGGAAAGTCTTTGTCACTCTGTTTGTTTAATCACTGTTCTCGTATATGGAGGCTGTGTATGATATCGACTCTAGTGAATAACAAGGTGATAAGAACCTTCCATATAAACAAGTCCCCATTTCCTTCCCTGCTCCTCATCTGTAATTGAAACGATATGTTTGTTCCCACTGCTATTCACATCAGACATGTTTTGATTTACCTCTTCCTATCTCACACCACGATGAAGGATTCGGAAACTTTCTTGAAGAATGTGTACAACACACATGCCCCTCACTACAATACTATTCGCAATTGGTTCCATCGTTTCGAAAAAGATGACTTCTCGCTCGATGAAAAGGATCGCTCTGGGAGACCCCGTGAGTTGGATTTGGACAAGCTGAAGCACGCATTGCAATCGGATCCATTTCAATCTAGCCGTGAACTAGCTGTCACATTCGGAGTTCACCATAGCACAGTCCTTGAAGGTTTAAGTCTCTTGGAATGAGAAAACTTTTTGGTCGATTCATACGTCATCACCTGACTCAAGCCAACCTTGACCGCCGAGTCGACGATTCGATTACTCTTCTCACTCTCCACGCGGGCGATCGATGGCTGGACCGGCTAATAACCGGAGATGAGAAGTGGGTCTTCTACGATAATCACCACAGGAAATCCCAGTGGGTTGGAGAAGGAGAGAGCCCACAGGATGTCCCCAAACCCGACCTTCATCCGAAAAAAAGTTATGCTCTCTGTGTGGTGGGGAGTGGACGGCCCCATCTACTGGGAACTTCTGCCCGAGGGCAAAACAATAACTGGAGACCTCTACACTACTCAACTACGAAACCTCAAGAAAGCAGTCGACCGTTCGGCCCTGAAAGACAAGAAAGTGTACTATCAACATGATAACGCTCGCCCACATGTTTCGAAACAAGTGAAGCAGGAGCTGATGGGATATGGATGGAATGTTCTCCCTCACCCCCCGTATTCTCCTGATCTTGCTCCTTCCGACTATTGGTTATTTGGCGATATGACACGTGCCTTCGAAGGAAGAAGCTTCAATTCCCGTGGAGCGGTCGAAGCGGCACTCAAACAATACTTTGCCTCACGCCCGGCTGGATTCTACCGCAATGGAATCCATAAATTGAGGGAACGTTGGAGACATGTTGTTGATAATGATGGACAATATAATTAATTATTCGGTTATTTTTTCTTTGAGAAATAAACTATTGAAAAAGTGACAAAGACTTTCCCGCCAACCTAATAAAACAAGAGAATGAGAATTTGATGAAACAAGAAATCCAACTTTTAGCTTCCGATGCGTCATGACACTAGCACTTTGTTGTACGGATGAATTGACATAGCGGAATCCGTACGTATCTAATATGTCCTCTTCGGAGATGTCTGTTGTGTCTGAAAGTTTAATTATTGCATTTTGAAGTCTCAGGCTATACCCTGGCTTGGGAAAATGGCTGCCACATTTCGGCGTCCCTTTTTTCAAAATTCTAATAATCAACTTTTTGAATACTTTGAACGGTGGTACCATCAATGAGAACTCGGAAAATGAGAACTGCTACATATGAGAACTAGAAAATGAGCTCAGTTTTTCGGCTCTAATCTCCGGCTCAGGATCCATCTTTTTTTAGAAAAATAGTTTTGAAATGGTCTCCTTCTTCACATAGCTTCAAGGTGTTCCAAAAATCCATGTTTTGGCCTGTATTTTACGAGTTCTTATTTGTAGCAGTTCTCATTTTCCGAGTTCTCAACCCTGGTACCACCCTTTGAACTGCTATTCACACGCTGAAAAAAGGACATTTTTCCAGCCCTGGCTATACCTACCATCCGCGAGGCAAGGAACATTTTCTTCCAAGTTTTGCTCAAGTTCCGCTACCATCGGTTTGAAGGGAGGATTAGGGTCAACAAGAGATCCTTTTTTTGGATCACAGATTCCAAGAATATAAGCTCGAACGATCTTTGCTACCCGTTGATCCTTTTCACTAGCCGGCTTAATCAGATAGTTCAAAAATAAACTTTTCAGTTCTTCTTCGGGTACTTCCAAATCCATCCCATTTGGGCAATCACTGAATTTTACTTGTCCATTACTTTTAAGCCATTTCCAGTTCACATCAATAACCAAGGAAGATGAGGTGATGATATGTCGAGAGGAGATGATGCTCGCCGTTGTTGGGTTACTGTATTGTTTGTGCCTTCGGTGCTGACTATTATTATGCATCAAACAAGTCAACCACGCCAACCTCGTTGGTTGCTTAGGAAGTGGCAAGCCAGTTCGGTTCACAGATGGCGTAGCTGGAATAAGAATCGAAAATCAGTTTGCAGATTTTTTCTCAACTCACGAAGTGCATCTCCTCCACAACTATTCAACCGCTTTTGATTCTCCTCGACAGTCAATCCTCCAGAAGGTGCTGAATTTCCAATAACAATCGATAAAGCAAGGAATATGATTATCGATTGAAATTGTGTATTTGTAAGTGCCATAAGCATCTTTAGAAAATACAAAATCTTTGAGAAGCATTGAGAATTTTGAATCAAATCTGAAGCCGGGGAGAGAGAACCATGACGTGGGTGAAGAGTGTGTGGAACTTTTTTTTCAAGGTTGAGCAAAAAAGGCAATTTTTCAAAAAAAAGGCAGTTTTTCTGTGCCAATAGTCAATTTGATCATACTTGTCATTGGCAGGGCCGGGCCGGGTCAAAAATGAAAAACTCTCCGGCCCGGCCCCAGCGGATAATCGCAGGAAGTTATTTTTGAGATGGAATTCAATAAATTTTTCAAAAAATCAGCTACCCGGGCCGACCGGGCCGGGCCGGGAGAATTATTTTTTGACCCGGCCCGGAATTTGACAAGTATGAATTTGATTATTGAGAAGGTAACAAAGACACGCAGAAACTACTACAGGCTTTCGAAGTTTGGTTTTTGGAAGAAGCGTCTGAATTCTGAATCAGACTCTGAAACGAGCTTATCCACAGGGTCTTCAGACTCCGAAATTCTTACTGTAATTTTAGAGTTTTAAATCAAGCACTTCATTAAAACAAAAGGATAACAGAAATCAAAGAAAAAATTGATAGTGCCCCTTTTCCTTCTTTTTCTCGATCAGTGAAGAAGTCCCTACTAACTACTATATCATCATCCACATCCACATAATCCGCTTCAGATGCCTTTTTCTGTGCCAAATACTCCTCATACTCCTCATCAACATCAATTTCTGGTCTGCGGTTTGGAATTTCCAGTAGGTCAGAATATTCTGGAGCCGTGGTCGGGGCGCTGGTTGGAAATGTGATGGGTTGAGGAGTATCAGATATTGTCGTTGCATTGGCTTTCGAATTTTGAAATGTCGCAGATGGTTTGAGTGATGGTGTGGTCGTTGTTGTAGTCGTCGTAGTCGTCTTCGGAACAATCACAGTAGTCACCTTCTTGCAGATCCCGACCATCGGACACAAGGCATCATGTAACTTGATCATGTTATAGAACATTTCTTTATCAGATGCTTTTCTGCTGTCTGAAAGAAAAATCAAGCTCAAAAAATCAGATTACTACACGAATCTTACTGGATCCTCCGAGTCCTAACAATAGTGTTCGTCCATTCGTGATCTCAACCAGTGCTCCTCCAGTTCCACTATTCTCGATTATGTAGGGAAGGAATTGGTTCAATTTATGATTGTGCTTCTGAAAGTTTTGAAGAAGATTATGAAACTGACATTTGGAAAAAAGTAAACCTCTGGATTCTCAATCCATATCTTTCTGTCAATAAACTGCATATTCACTGTATCAAAGCTGTCCAGAGAAGATTCAATTTGAGTTGAAGGATCTGAACTTGTTGAAATATCATAGAATCTATTATGCTGGCGCCAAAAATTTCGGAGCTGTGGAATACAGACGCCTGTGACCGTGGCCGAGGGTCCCACAACGACAACCGTAGCTATGGGAGTTGCGGTGGGGATGCCACTAAAAATTCCGATTTTTTCGTGATTTAATTGGCCTAAGCCTAATTTTTTGTTTGGCATTTGTTTTCAGGTTACAGTAAAACCTGTAATAGAAGTGCCCCCCGACTTTCAACTTTGAGCCCATTTATTTCGGTTCCTGATAAAGATGTAAAAAATATGTCAACTAATAAATTGTTGCTGCTATCATGATAAACAATTTATCAGTTGACACATTTTTGATATTTTTATCAGGAACCGAGATAATTGAGCTCAAAGTTGAAAGTCAGGGGGCACTTCTATTACAGGTTTTACGGTAAGTAAGAAACCAATAACGTAAAAATCGAAAATTTTAGTGTCCTGGCCACCAGCGTTCCCCTCCTATAGCTCCGACTTTTTGCACCAGACAGAGATGTCAGGATTCCGAATTCCGGAAAGTTAGTTTCATTCCGTATTCCAGATTCCGTTTCTCAAAAAAGTCATTCCGGACATCTCTGGTACCATATAAATATTAATTTAAAAATTACCAATCCACAAACACGGAGAACTGCCCTCATAAACTCCATTCAATTCTAAAACCATTGGGTAGTTCACATTGCCTTCTTGGACTTCTGATTTGACATTTACATCACACACCAACAAAATAAAACCACGGAGAATAGAGGGTGAAGATGTTTTGAATCGTGCGCTTTCCACTCCTACTTCCAGACCGTTGAAAAGTGTTTTGTGAACTTCGATGTACCTTTAAGGTTTTTTTTTCCTTTCATATATTTACAGGCTCTCACTTGATTCCATTTGCACACTTCCAATCAACAACATCTCGGCCCCATTTTTCCAAGATTTCTGCAGAGGCCAGTAAATGTCGAGATAATAGCAGGGAACACATTATTGGAACCTTTGTATTTTAATGAGCCATACCACTGTTGAGACAATACGGAACTAGCCACTGTCGAATCTAGAAAAAAACATTGTTTTTTTAAAACATGGCCATCTTACTAAGCTTATCCCTTCCACAGTTTTCCGCTCGTACAGTATCTTCCGCTTGTGTCAAATTTCCAGTTCCCTTTGGGCATATTCCAACAAGATCACAAATGCGATGTTGGTAGTGCACAATATTGAAAAAACTGGATGTATTTTGATATTTCCCTCTTGGGATTCCCTGGGTTCCAATCCCAATGATTGTGGACCTTTTGTTATTGTCGATTTTGGTCAGAGCTGCTGCAAAAGTCGCGTTATCGTGGTAGGCCTCAGTGAGCATCAAATCGGGGTTGTCGGATTTTTTGCCGAGCTGGAGCTAAAAATGAGAAAATGAGGATTTGATGAAACAAGAAATCCAACTTTTAGCTTCCTATGCGTTATGTCAACATCTTTTGCGCCTTGGTATGTAGGGACAAGCGCGGATCCATACGTATCAAATATAGACCCATGTAAGATCTCTGTGGTGTCTGAAAATTTAAATTTTCACAGTTTGCAGTTCAGGGTTATACTCACCATCTGCAAGACAAGGAACTTTTTCTTCCAAGTTTTGATCAAGTTCCGCCACCATCAGTCTAAATGGGGGACTAGGACCGACAAGTGTCTTTTTTTCTGGATCACAGACCCCCAGAATAAAAGCTCGAACGATATTAGCTACTCCAATTGTCGGCAGCTGGTTCAAATATATACTTTGGCGTTCTCTTTGTGGTACTTCCAGATCCATCCCGTTCATGCAATCACTGAATTTCACTTGTTCACCACTGATACTCCATCTCCAGCTAATTCCATCAATAACCAAGAAAGATGAAGTGATGATATGTCGAGAAGATATGATGCTTGCCGTTGTTAGGCTCATACCATTTATCCAGGCACAAGTCAACCAGGCGATCTTCGTTTTCGTAGAAATCGACACACCGTCTGTGTTCCGAGATGGTGTAGCTGGAATAAGAATCGAAAATCAGTTTGCAGATTTTTTCTCAACTCACGAAGTGCATCTCCTCCACAACTATCCAACCGCTTTTGATTCTCCTCGGCAGTCAATCCTCCAGAAGGTGGTGAATTTCCAATAACAATCGATAAAGCAAGGAATATGATTATCGATTGAAATTGTGTATTTGTAAGTGCCATAAGCATCTTTAGAAAATACAAAAAGGTACAAAGAAGGTTGGAGAATCTTGGAATCAATTTAGAAGTAGAGGGAGGAGAAAGTTGACGTGGGGAGAGAGAGTACGTGGAACTTTTTTTCAAGGTTTCGTGTAATTCCGTGAACTATTGAATAGTGAATTTAATTGGCGAAAAAATAACCGAGACACGCAGAAAATACTACAGAAGGTTTTCTAAAATTCTCAAGTACCGTACTCTAATTGAATACCCCCGAATCGTCAACATTGAGCTTATATATCTCGGTCTGTGTGAGAGATATCAAAACACAAAACTGAGAGACTCTGAAAATTCGTGGCAACTGATTTTTTATCATTTGTATTTCAAACGCGTTGGTAAACCCCGCTCACTGTTGGTGGTCCTTTTTTTGTTGATGACGAATCGATGGGAAATATAATTGAGATTTGAGAGAAATAGGAAAGTCACTGTTTCGAAAATGACGTAATTCTGAAAAAGGTTTTCCGGAAAAACAAAGAAAAAAGAGACCATTTGAATGACTCATTTGAATAGCAATTGGCTTGTGATAGGAGGATCAGATAAGGGGGATACTGTAGATCCCAGAGTCCGGATGTCCAGAGATACCAATGCTGAGGACAGATCATAATACTTCAGATCGTATTTTGGTAATTCCAAATCGAAATTCTGAAGGAGAGATATTTCTGGATGACACCACAACTTTCAACTTGGAGCCAGGTTATCTCTGTTCATGTCAAAGATATCAAAAAGTTGTAAACTGACAAAATACTTATCATTATATCAGCAATATTTCATCAGTTGGCATTTTTTTGATATCTCTCACACAGACCGAGATATATAAGCTCAATGTTGACGATTCGGGGGTATTCAATTAGAGTACGGTACTTGTGAATT